CAGAAATCTAGGTGTAGTCATGGACTCTGACCTGAGTTTCAACAGTCACATTAAAACAATTACTAAATCAGCCTACTATCACCTAAAGAATATATCTAGGATTAAAAGACTAATGTCACAGCAGGATTTGGAAAAACTTGTCCATGCTTTTATCTTCAGTAGACTCGACTACTGCAATGGTGTCTTCACAGGTCTCACTAAAAAATCTATTAGAAAGCTGCAGCTAATTCAGAACGCTGCTGCTCGAGTCCTCACTAACACTAAGAAAGTGGATCACATCACTCCAGTTCTGAAGTCTTTACACTGGCTTCCTGTGTGTCAAAGAATAGATTTCAAAATACTGCTGCTGGTTTATAAAGCACTGAATGGTTTAGGCCCAAAATACATTTCTGACCTCCTGCTAAATTATGAACCATCCAGGTCTCTCAGGTCTTCAGGGACTGGTCAGCTTTCTGTCCCCAGAGTCAGAACTAAACATGGAGAAGCAGCGTTCAGTTATTATGCTCCAAATATCTGGAACAAACTCCCAGAAACCTGCAGGTCCGCTGCAACTCTGACTACTTTTAAATCCAGGCTGAAGACTTTTCTTTTTGTCGCTGCTTTTAATTGAACTATTCATATCTTAGACTGCACTGTAACTTTTATCCATGTACTTTTTTCTTTTAATGTTTAATTGACTGCACTGTAACTTTTATCCATGTATTTTTTCTTTTTAATGACTGATTTTAAATGCCATTTTCTTAATCTCTTTCATTTTTTGTAAAGCACTTTCAATTGCCTTGTGTTGAAAAGTGCTATATAAATAAACTTGCCTTGCCTTGCCTTGCCTTGTTAGCTAATGTTAGTTAGCTGACATTAACGTTACACATTGCACTCATATTACTCACCGAAACCTTGTAAAGCCGGTCCCGCTGCTCTTACAGAACCGACTAACTCCCCTTTCGTGTATGCACAGCTCTCAACATGCCCAGACTTGTAGTGATGTTCACCTCGTTTGACTGAATGGAAATGACAATAAATGAAAATGTAAAACGAAAAAAGCGATCATGAAAATGTTTCCAAAAAATGAATTAAATGATTTTTGACCACTTTGTTGTTCAGATATATCACATATTTGTAACTAAATGATACATGAATTGAAACAAAACACGGTATAAACTGAGGAGTGACTCCCGTGAGGTTCATGTATTTTCTTCACTCTGCTCTCATGTCAAGAAGCATCAGATCAGTGCATGCACTGCCTCGTCCAATCAGTGAGCGATACACAGTAAGGGGGCGGGGTGAGTATCTGAGGATTTCATCGGAGGATGGTCTGGTGGTTCCTCGGTTATCGCTCCTCCATTATCGCTCCTCGCTCCTCGGTCCTCCGGCAGAAATAAGAGCCATGGGACGGTACTCAAGATGGCGCAGGCAAATCAACTTCCGGTGAGACCGAGGAGCGAGGAAATGAAAATTGTCGACCTGAGAAGCAGCCCTAGACGGTGTACGGCTGCTTGCACCTCGCGTAAAACGGCGCAGACCGGAAATACGGTGTCGCGCTCGGCCCCAATACCCGTATGTGTGTGTGAAAGAATACTACATGGGCTGTATGATTAAATCTTGCACCGTAAATGTTGTATTAAATAAAGTTAATATTACTTATTATTATAAGTATATATATATATATATATATATATATATATATATATATATACAGTGCAATCATTCTTTCATGCTAAATGAAGCTCTGTTGGATATCACTAGATCCTGTTACAGCGTAATATAAGTACATAACGATTGATGTGCACATTAGCATAATCACTAGCTAGCCGCTAGTTGCTAACTGCCGCCTCGTTAATATCAAATCCATCATAATAACAAATCATTACCATGCTGTCATGTACGTGCGGTGCTGTTACGTGTACGCAAATTGACGTGCTTGATGTGAACGAGCATTTTGGTTAAAGTTGCGCATGCGCTATGAGCGCACATACGGGTACTTATCAGGCATGACGGGTAATCTGTGACGTTTCGCTGGCTGCTTCTCAGGTCGATTAAATTAAATCCTTGCTTCCCTCACTTGCGTCGTTTCCCTGCGTCTAGTCCCTCCCACCAGGGAAGCATGGAGGGACGCAAGGAAACCACGAGAAGCAGGGAAATGAGTTTTAAGAGCAATGGGACGTCCTTTCTTCCGGAGCGTCACGTGAAGCGACGTCCGTTTGTGATGACGCTGCACAGCTGATCGTCTGACAGCAGCCAGCTCTGTACCCGTTATTTCCACAAACACCCCCGCCTCTGTTAGTACACATTTACTGACACAAACATTTGTATCATCTGTTGTAGACCCCAATAAATAAAATAAAATAAGAACTCATTCTCAAAAAAGATAAACGCCATTCTTAAAATGTATAAACGAACAATAGTTAGATTAATATTGATTAGAGTGCACAAAAGAAATAAAATAATTGAGAGAAGAAAAATATATGTTATCTATCAAAACCCAGTTAGATTAACATTCATTGGATTGCACACTTTGTTTGTTTGTTTGTTTGGATATGTAGTACATTAACATTTTAATAGCACTTAATGACTGACTGAATGGAAATGACAATAAATGAAAATGTAAAACGAAAAAAGCGATCATGAAAATGTTTCCAATAAATGAATAAAATGATTTTTGACCACTTTGTTGTTCAGATATATCACATATTTGTAACTAAATGAAACAGGAATTGAAACAAAACACGGTATAAACTGAGGAGTGAGTCCCGTGAGGTTCATGTGTTTTCTTCACTCCGCTGGGAAACGGCTCTCATGTCAAGAAGCATGAGATCAGTGCATGCACTGCATCGTCCAATCAGTGAGCGATACACAGTAAGGGGGCGGGGCGAGTATCTGAGGATTTCATCGGAGGATGGTCTGGTGGTTCCTCGATTATCGCTCCTCTATTATCGCTCCTCGCTCCTCGATCCTCCGGCAGAAATAAGAGCCATGGGACGGTACTCAAGATGGCGCAGGCAAATCAACTTCCGGTGAGACCGAGGACCGAGGAGCGAGGAAATGAAAATAGTCGACCTGAGAAGCAGCCACTCTCTCAAAAGTTGGGCCATTTTATCATCATGCGCTAATGAGCAACTCTCATAGGAATGAATGAGACCCCGCCTCCCACGCTGTATCCAGTTCTTATTATACATCCATGGAGCCGTGGAGGATGCATCAGTGTCTCCTCGGTTAGAGCTCCTCCAGAGAGCCTCGAAGTGCATTTAGAGCAGTGTTTCTCAAACTTTTTCATACCAAGGACCACTTAACCAATAAAAAAACACTCGCGGACCACCTAACTCCACAAATATCCAAAAACACATCGTTTTTTACAAATCGCCTGAAAATTGTACAAACAAGTGGCAACATGTGCGATGACGGTGTTTATCTGGGCTATATCATGCAATCGAAAGTGAAACTTAAGCTCACTCCATTGCGGAGATATTCCCGCGAGAGTGCGGAAAACTTACATTTATTTATTTATTTCAAATGTGAAATGTTACCAATATACTCACGGACCACTAGGGGGCGCTCACGGACCACCAGTGGTCCGCGGACCACACTTTGAGAAGCACTGATTTAGAGAAATGAGATGTCCTTCAACATGGCGCGCTGAAATTCATTTCCGGGTCAGTACCGGAGGACCGAGGAGTCGAGGAGGGGAAATTTGAGTATTGAGAAACCTCTGCAGCTTCTGCCCTGCCGCAGCACCGGAAATGGAACTGCTGGGAGAAAAACTGACTATCAGAGATGTAACGTTACCTTTGATAATACTTCGTCTCCTCATTTTTCGTCAACGAAAGTAAAGAGAGATTTTGGCATAGTTTTTATTTAGTAAACTACATTTTCGTCGCGTCACTTTTCGTCAACGATATTGCATGTTGATTTCGTTACAGTTATGGTTTACTGCTGTCGGTGCCGTCTCGTCATCGTCTCGATTTAGTCATGGAAAAAAAGGTCGTTGACGAACATATTTCGTCATAGTTTTAGTCAATGAAATTAACACTAATGTGTTCCTACTATTCCATTTCTGTAAACACTGATTATACATGATGCTTGACCTTGTCAATTAATTAGAAAGGTATGTAAAACACAATACATTAGGAGAGGGATATTCTTAAATAGTTTTGGTTTGAGAGCATAGCACTATATAGCCAGTAATGTGCCTACTCGTATTATGTCAAATATACTTGTTAGCATGCCCCATTAAAGATTAGTTTTACCATTTATCAAGCTGTGTGTGTGTCTTTCAGTAGTATACCAAACTAACAAATGACTTCCATGTACATTCACGTCCATTGTTGAACGAAAAGGCAAGGCAACTGCTCAAAATGTTGAATTAGGCACTTAGTTAAACGAGTTGGATACGTATTTCATTAAGCTGAGCAAACATTTTCAACAAAACAAACATGCTTCTTTATGATTAAAGAACTTTTTTTAAGAGGCACTGACATTTTTAATTACTGATTTTAGTACTTATTTGTTTGGATTTTAATTTTCCCCAGAGCTTTCTATGTGTCCATGGTCCTATGTTCTGCTACTTAATATCCTTTTAATGTGACTTTCTAAAGGGTTTTATGATCTCAGCAATGTTTTACCCCAATACGTTGAAATCATCATAGTCATTCTCTTTTAAATCAATACTTCAAATATGTGTCAAGACAGTTTTTTCTTGACTTTAGACATTAATATCTCCAAAGTGACTGAAAAGAACAGAAATTGAACGCATAATATGTGTATATTTCTTTAAGAATACATTTGAATATTATTTTACAATTTTTAAAGGAAAAGTTTAAATACATGCAAGGTAACAAAGACAATTTACAGCGTAGTTGGAAGTGTGTACAGTTGGAAGTGTTTTTATCTGGCACAGTCTCACTGCATGCCGCCCCTAAAAGTTAATATAAATATTCATGGGCAAATATCAATGCCTTTATCACACATAAGAAACCCCACATAATGTTGGCAATATATACAACATATCAGCTTTGTAAATGTTTTATTTATTTACATCATTAGAAAGAGATGACAAACATTAACAAAACATTTTTTTCCAAACTGCCCCATTCTAAATTACTATCACTCTGCAGCATTCATAAAAAATAAAGTATTATGATGTATCTTGTCACAACTTCTTAAGGTTACGATGTAGTCTGTGCTGTGGTCATTTGTAAACTTTTTTCCCATTAATTTCTTTATTCATATTTGTAGCCTGAGCCAAAGTGTACCCACTATTGTCAGACTAATGGGTTATTGTCTTATATTTATCATTAACATTTTTCGATACGTTTCTCAGAGAAATCCCCCAAAATATGTGTATGTCAAAAAACGAAATTGTTCTCACTGAATAAAAGAAAACAATTAAATAAATACCTTGTGATAATAATAAAATATCTAATAAAATCAATCCTTTTCATGTGGTCAACTTTTCTTTAGAACACATGGCTAAAACAATATATCAAAAATAGTAATATGCAGTAAAAGGTAATACTTGATTCTTTAAAACTTAACTACCTTGTAATGTTATGTGCATTTTTCTTACGTCATCAGAAGTTTAAAGTAATATCATATCCTGTTTTGCATTAAACTTAACTTCAGACATTTTTACATATGTATGTTATCTCTTTTGTGATGGATAGTTCAATACAGATTCATGACAAATATGAAAACCCCAGTATGAAAGTCACTGATTGTCTTCACATTTGTCACCTTGTATATTTGCCAACTATCCATCTATACAGCATAAAGATCAGAACAATGTCAAAATACAAGGGGTGGGGGCGCAGTGGCCTAGTGTATTGGTGTTCGGATCAGGGGGAGCACAGGTTCAAACCCCACTGCAGTCAGCGTGTCGTTGTGTCCCTGAGACACTTCACCCTAAATTGCTCCTGTGGGGATTGCCCACAGTATTGAGTATGTAAGTCGCTTTGGATAAAAGCGTCTAACAAGTGACATGTAATACAGTACAATCACTGAAGAGAAAAACCTCAGTCACATTAACAAACAGAGCAATGGAGTTCAGCTAAAAGTGGGTCAAAACTATGGATCTTAGAACTGCAAACTCCCTCGAAATGTTTAAAAGAAAATTAAAAACCTTTTTAATATGGCTTTTAATTTCTTACTATCATTGTCCATGTTTTACGGTATTTTTTCTGTTTTGCTTTTATTTTACATTTTGAATTCTCTTTTTTTTATTATCACTGTAGATGGTTTATCTTGTTCTGTATTCATTTTAATATTATTGTAATATTGTTGTTGTATTTTCTGTAAAGCACTTTGGGCAGCTTTGTGAATGAAAGGTGCTATACAAATAAAGTATATTATTATTATTATTAAAAGTAAGAACAATATGGAAACAAGACAAAAATAGAGTTTATAATAGAATTGATCCACTTAGTCATGGGTCACTTTAGCTGTGCCTCATTGATGGGATGCTATGGATTGAAAGTCTTGGTATGCTAACAACCAATGTCCTTCTCCTCCATACTAGAGCAACTGTGGATGCTGCTGCCGTTGTTGGAGCCGTCTGGGGACATGGAGGACAGCAGGGGATCACTCGGGGACATTGGCGACAGGGTGTCCCTTACCAAGTCCTTTATTTTACAGGCCCTGGAGGTTCCATAGGGCCCAGAGTCCCCGGAGTCTGAGGGAATATGGTCGAATGTAATGGTGCCGTTGTTGAGGTCCAGTGTGGTGGGAGGGGACATGTCAGGACCCGAGCTGTGCAAATAGAGATCTGCGGGACACTCGCCGAGGGCAGGTTCCTGTTTAATGGATCGGCCCATCAAATCTGATGTGCAGACGGATGGGGATGGAACCACCGTGAGACCATGAGCTCGGGCCTGGATCTCCAACTCCTAGAGATAATCAAAACATTTAAACAAAATTTCAATCTATACCTGCTCTGTTAGTGCTATAAGCTAAATGCTAGCATCGTTAAGCTCAATCTGCAACCTTGTGTCTTGAAAAATACGTTCCTATGCAACTCCCTTCAATTACGTTAAGAGAAAAGTGTTTATTTGTCATTTTAGCAGCCTGTCCTCCAACAAGAAACGACCATATAGGTTGATTGTTCAGCAGCTTATTACGACCCGGAGTCACGTTTTAAAGTGTAGCACCTCTAGTGGTCGTGTAAGAAACAACATGCTCCTGTTGAATGCAAACGCTCCAGAGATTCTTTTATTCACAAATAACCCTCTCCCCTTGCAAATTGTGCAATAGTTTGCTTTTGATTCGATTTCTAGCGAGTAGTGTATATTGTACTTTTAGAATCTACGTCCAGTGGAAGTGTAGGATCTATAGTTTGATAGATATTACGACGATGATCTCACCAGGAGAACGTGTATATGCGGCAGCTTCCATGTAAAGTTAGCGTCAACCCCTGATATCTGCATTACTCATCCACTAAAAAACATCAGTTTATCCTTGTCAATTACACAATATTGATTGGTTTAAATTGTGTACAATGCTTTTGTGTTTTTAATAGGGCTGTCAAGTTAATGCGTTAATAACGCGTTAACGCACAATTTTTTTAACGCCACTAATTATTTTAACGCGATTAACGCATGTGTATTTTTTTCCTCGGTCGCCCCGTAGTTTCAGAGCGCATCGAGTTTAAAATACCGTCTACAAGCTGATGCTGACGGCCCCGCTCCTGCCGCCCGCTTGTGGCAGACCACACTTCCACGCTCACCGGCAGGCACCGACTGGTATTGGGAGGACCGGGAGGGTGTGTGTATGTGTGGCACGAGCGAGCGAGAGAGAGACCTTACGTGCATTGTTGTTGTTAGCATCTGGTGCTAGCTAGCTGCGCTAACGGATATACGGAGCTGTTTAAATGAAAACAGAGGAGCGACATTTCGCCACAACTGTGCCGAGCACTTGACTTTATGCAGGAAGCCAGACAGTGGGACATTGTACGAAAAGTCAGCACACTCAGCACGGATAGTGCAACATGATTGCAGCGTCCAGGCAGCTCCGGTTCGAGCATATGCCTTGAGTTGCACATAGCTCCAACGTTCCAACACACACACACACACACACACACACACACACACACACACACACACACACACACACACACACACACACACAAACACACACACACACAACACACACACACACACACACACACACACACACACACACACACACACACACACACACACACACACACACACACACACACACACACACACACACACACACACACACACACACACACACACACACACACACACACACCATTTGTATTGTATTATTGTATGAGAGAGGTTCCAGGTTGAATTGAGGCGAATATTTGTAATGTTCAGAGGTTGTTGTGTTTAATATTCATGAGAATATTTGTCATTGTTCAAATGATAATAAACATTAGCATAAAGCATATTTGTCCACTCATATGTTGATAACAGTATTAAAAACTTGAAAAATATTCCTCTAAGGTACATTTAGAACAGATAAAAAATGTGCGATTAATTTGCGATTAATCGCGATTAACTATTTGAATCGACTGACAGCCCTAGTTTTTAACCTTCGATTCGGAGAAACACATAGTTTTTTCGGAGTTTAGACACTACAGAGTTTCCGAAGACACTACACTACCCAGAATCCCGAGCTATCGTTTGGGACTACAACATCCGCCTTGCTTTACAAACCCCATGATTAGTCTTCAAGCTCTGTGATTGGATGTTGGAGTGGCAGTGCGACAAGGTTACGCTGAGCGTCAACAGCTCTTTGAAATGGAATGGAACCACGGCAGACTATCCAAAACTGGACTTGTCGCCCCCCCCCCCCACAGAACTACACATGCTGGCTATTGTGTGTTTCGCAACATGTTCTATGGCACGTCTTTACTGGGAATTGTAGTTTTAAAAGATGTTTTCGTATTTCCCACAATTAGAAGTTGCCAGTATTAAACTGTTTACACCCCTGGAGGTTTAGGGGATACGAAACACATTGGTGTTATCAAATTTAAAACATATAATTAATAAATGGGTGAAAATTGCTTGTGTCCATAATGGGCAGCATTAATATACCCACATGACAGCTAAGGTCAGAAGAGCTTTATTTAACAGATGGTCTTATGTCTGTGACCCCTCCTGTTGTTCATTGATAAGCCTGAAACATGCACTTGTCAAGGTTCAGAGGCACATTTTGCAAATATGGCAGTAGCCATTGATCATCTTAAGATAAGATAAGATATACTTTATTGATCCCAAGTTGGGAAAAATTTTTGTTACAGCAGCATGTACTACTTTGTTCTACTCCACTACAATTCAGAGGTCAACCTGGTATTTTTACTCCACTACATGTATTTTAGTTACTTTGCAGATTCTGATTAATGATGTGAAATATAAACAACCCTTAAATCAGACTTTAGTTACACCTGAGTCAAATTCAGGGAAGGTGATTGTCAAGTGCCAAAATAAACTATGCAATATATTAGACGTTAAGTACTTTGTCAGACTTCATATTTATCTGTTGATAACCCCAAAGTGTTTTTCTTATTCAAAAGAAGACCTTAACTTAAAGTATTCTTTAATGTTTAAATAAAGCCTTATTAGTTTGTCTGTTTTGCACATCCTCCTATTAATATCTTTGGACGTCCTGCTCTAAACTAATTTTTTTGTAGAGATCACTACAGTATCTTCTTGATATTCTCTATTCTATATCTCTATCATTGACCTTCTACTTTCCCCCTATTTTGTATGTAGGCTACTCTTAATATTTAAATGTTTTCATCAAATATAACATTCGACAACTAAATTAAATAATGTGCTTTAACCACGAGGAGGTGCGGGTTCAAAAACCAGTGGTCTAGTTAATAAAACATAATAATATCAGCTATTGAAATTCTGATTCCATAGATGTGTCTCCCATCACCCAAAACCCCTGACTATTCTCTCAACTCCGTATATTACATTCTTTAATTCAAAGAAAATCAGTAATATCTTTAAAAACGACAAGTCCCTTTCTATCAGCTGTGCACCTTTATGGTGTAAATACAGCCTATCTACCAATTGGATCAAATATAAAAGTCAGACGAATTAGTGTTGATACTGCGAGGAGACGTATTGTGTGAAAATAAATGTAAGATGTTGTGTAATTGTTGATATATTTATGATCCATGTCACGTTTTCAGTTTCAGCGGCATTTCTTCCACTTTGTCAAAAGGTCTTCTGATCAGGGCTCTATAAATAAATATCTACGGCAGATATGTAATATTGAATGGAGCCGAACCGTGTATTACAATGCCGTTATGTAATGACTTCCAAAGAGAAAAGCAAGAACACTCGGAATAAAGTATTATTATTTTTTTTAAATGTTTTCCGATTTCATATCGCATAAACAACATATCCCGACGTGCATTGCGGCTAAAACATCCAGGATTATGAGTAGTTAGATGTTTTAGCCTATCAAAACCTCTGAAAAAAGAAAAGTGTCTCCTAGAATTGAAAGAGAAAAACCTATGGGAAAAACACAAAAGCATTGTACACAATTTAAACCAATTAATGTTGTGTAGGATAAACTGATGTTTTTTAGTGGATGAGTAATGCCGATATCACTGTTAAATCATTTGATCATTGGTTTTATTATGAAAACTTCGAGACCGGAAATACTGTTTTCACCCCGTGAGGGTTGACGCTAACTTTACATGGAAGCTGCCGCATACACGTTCTCCTGGCGAGACCTCAAATCATCTTCGTAATATCTATCAAACTATAGATCCTACATATCGACTGGACGTGGATTCTAAAAGTACAATATACACTTCTCGCTAGAAATCTAATCAAAAAGCGTTTTAATGGTCAAACTATTGCACAATTTAGGATTTTACAGAGAGGGTTATTTGTGAATAAACGACCCTCTGTAACGTTTGCAGTCAATTATTGGTCGTACTAAGCGCTTGAACAAACAACCTATTTGGTCGTAATAAGGGCTTGAACAATCGACCTATTTGGTCGTATGAGTTGGAGGACTTGTTGAATTTTAGTGAATTACAGTCACAGTTTCAATTAAGTGTTTAAAATTCTATATCGAAACATAACACAATAAAACTACTGGGTCAGGATTAGTACAATATCATTATTTAGCTGCAAATAAGTGCTAATTAAAATGGATGTAACTTTTCCCACCGAACACCAACAGTGGTAGGTGGACATATGTATATTTGCCTATATATAGTTTCGGGACTTTGGTCAGAAACTTGATGTGAACCGGTATAATGTTTACCATGTCTACTATCTATAGGGAGGCGTGTGGAGCAGTGGAATAGTGCGTTGGTGTTCGGATCAGGGGGTCACAGGTTCAGTCAGCATGTCACTTCACCCCAAATTGCTCCTGTGGGGGTTTGCCCACAGTATTGAGTATGTAAGTCGCTTTGGATAAAAGTGTCTAACAAGTAGGGGGTGGTGGCAAAGTCGATAGGGACTTGGCTTGGCAACTGGAAGGTCACCAGTTCAAGTCCCGGCAAGACCAAGTGCTACGAGGTGCCCCTGAGCAAGGCACCGTTCCCTACACTGCTCCCCGTGCGCCGTTCAAAATGGCAGCACACTGCTCCTAACACTAGGATGGGTCAAATGCAGAGAAACAATTTAATAAAGATTAATAAAGTATATATAAAAAAATAGGGTTAGGGTAAAAAATAGTAACATGTAATGTACTATCTTAGTTTGGTGTTTATTTTTAAGCAGTAAACTAGCATATAACAAATGCTAACAGCTAACATTAGCCCCTGGTTGATGTAACGAGAAATGCATTCCCTCATATGCCAATACTGTTTGTAGTGAGGTAGCGTGCATCCCTGGCCATAGTTTACTTGAAACCAAGTATTTTTTTCCCAAAGACGGTTGGCCTACCTGTATACGAAGCAAAAGATGGCGGTTCGCATGCTCCAGCTTCCTCTGTCTGCACTCGAGCTCTTTGGCTCTCTGCTGCTCCCGCTGTAGCCTCCTGATATAGTCCACTGATGCTTTGAGAATAGTGCCCTTATTCCATCTCATGTCTCTGGGGTAAACAGGAGACAAAGGTCTACAGTCAGAGTCAGCTGACCGGCTGACCTAAAGAGCACAGGACTCTATAAGGCCCCTAAGTCATCAAAGTTTAGGGAGCATGTAAAAAATAAAGTTTATGAATAGACGAATAGATACATGTATCCATTAGCAACATTTATTTAAAAAAAAATACATACGGATCATTTGACTTGGGTATCAAGGTTCCCAGTTCTTTGATGCGATCGTTGATGTTGAACCTCCGTCTTCGCTCAACTAGAGTTTTTCCAAAAGACAAACTGTTACTACAGGAGCCTTAGTAAAGAAGTCTTTGAAAGCTTAATTACTGGTAATACAATTAAAGAACACAAACAAAACAAAATTAAGCTTAATTGACACATAATTACATCTGTAAATATTGCAAAAAGCATTTAAAAAATGATTTAAATTCCAGATGATTCTAATCTGATCGACTCACTCAAGTTGTGGTTGTCTTTCTTCTGTCTCTCTTTGGCTAGAGCACGGACTTCAGCCTCTGTGAAGCGAAGACAAACATGAATGTGAGTGCTCTGACAAATCATAATTGTTTAATTAAATCAGTGATAAGCCAGTTGAGTAGCACTTGAAATGTTTTAGCTCTATGAAACCTGATGTACTTATATGATTCTGTTTTCTTCAAGTTTGTATCTTCTTGGTCGAATGCACTGTAAGTAGCTTTGGATAAAAGCGTCAGCTAAATGCAATGTAATGTAATGATAAGGCTATGAAATGAATGTAATTGCAAGTTTCACACCATGCACAGTATATCTCTTACTTTATCAACTAGAACATTAGATGTAATGCTGGATAACTACAGCCAATAAGCAATGTATATCATGTTTATTATCCGCACAGTTGATTTGTATTGTTTGCGATTTAGTTATACACAAAACATATTTTCTGAATATCAAATTGAAAACAGAATTATTGATTGATTGAATTATTAGTTTGCAAAATATAATTTCACTTTCTTCATTTTGCATCCCTTACCTACTGGGAAGCCTTCTTGCCTTTGGTAGTTTTCATACATGCCACAGGTGTCAGACTTGTCCAGAACTTGCTTCATGCCAGGAGCTGGGGTAATTATTTGGCAAAAAATCAACTTATATTTCCAAATTACACACAATATTGACATTGATCTTAAGTCATGCTTTAACTTTTTACATTCTATCTGAAATGTGTTGATACAACCCTTGATTATGATTAAGTCACAAATCAAAATAATTGACATTACATATTACAGTATCGGAACTTAGACAAAAATGACTTACAAAATGTTTTCCGTGTACACTTAAATCAGATCTAACCACAAGATTAAGTAAGGTTATATTTCCTGAGAGTCAATTCAAGTTGTACTAAACAGACACATTTCATTGTACACAACTGGCCAATAGAATTCAAGCTAAGTGATATCTCAAAACGGTAAATTAGCTGTCAAAATAATAAAGAAAGAATGATGTGTCTCAGTAATTTACTTGAGTATTCCCTCTTGATGTTGGATTGACAGGAGTTGCTGATGTCGAGGCCGGGGAGTGGAAGTCCTTGATTGCCGTACACATCGAGAAGGTTCCCAGACACAGGGAGCTTCAGAATATGAAAGAAATTGAATTATAATGCGAACATAAAAAGGAAAACCTTTGTATGTCTTTCAATTCAATTCAATAGTATCAACAGTGCTAAAGACACTCCAAATACATCCCTTTACCATCCTACTTACAAAAGAAATATCTATTATCTTTCTTTAAATATTACCTGATTGTTCATTTGCATTCCTGGATCCATAAGTCCAAGAACCTCTTCATTGTAGCTTGTCTCCAAGCTAATAATATCATCAATGACATCATCCATCTGTATGGCAAAAAAGCACATTCAATAATCACTGTACTGTTTATTAGTGCTGCAGATAATTGAATATTATCAGGGCAATCTTTCACAAGTGGTTACAAGCACTACAATTGGCACATATACTCCATGGAGGTTACTCTATTGAAAAAGCACGTTAGCCACTCATAAATCCAAGATGGTCGCCATTTTTCACACTCTATGGACAATCTTGCACTAATATTTTGCACATATGGACAATCTACACATTCTATGTACAAATTTGCACAAATGTACATTCTCAAAAATATTGAAGTAACTGTTATTTTGTATATATTGATTGTTGTGTTTTTATTTAGGTCTTAATGTGTGCATATGTAAAAATGTGTCTTTGATTCTGTGTATATACATATTTGCACACATATTTTTATATACATTTGTTTTAGATTCGGGATTGTAGGAAACGGTATTTTGATCTCTCTGTCTGTACACACAAACTGGAAGATTGACAATAAAGTTGACTTGACTTTGACTTGATTTTGAAAATGGAGGTGTCTAACGGGCTTTTTTAACTTGGTGCTTGTAACCACTTGTCAAAGATCGTACAGCTATCTGCAGAACTATACAGTATAAAGGTTTCTCAATGTACTGAAAGGGTTTAGTAATGAGCGGGCATACCTCTTTCTCACAGTTGGAGCTGAGGGTAAGCAGGGCCATGGGGCTGTTGGGGGCGCTGCTGCCGAGCCCGGGAGGCATGCCGTGCTCGGGGGGCTGGCCGGGGCACTGACCCCCCGCCTTACCACCCAGTGAGGTGGAGAGGTACTGCCTCACCTGCTGCCTCTGGGCCTGCTGGATGTGGTACTTGGTGGGATTATCCAAGTGGGACTGCACCTAATATGGGCAAGACGTAAAAAAAGAACATTCAACCTGGGGACTTTTGGATTCTTTTTTTTTTACTTTGTATATTGGGTTTTTTCAACAGCATACAGTTATTCTACAAACAAATCTTCACTTTATAGAAAAATAGGTAGAATAACAATTTGGATTCTCTTTTTATGTGTAACATTTGCTTTTAGACTTTAGATAGGAAAACAAAGATTAAATATCACAAGAAATAATAGCAAAAATGTCTTTCAAAATACGTAATTTAAAGAAAGCATAGATAAATTATGACAACAGTACAATTCAAATAAATGAAACTGGTACATTTAGTGGAATTTTAGATTTAGTGTCATGCTTGATGTCTTCAAAAATAATTTGCTTATCTCAAAAAGTAATGACAAGGAGTCAAGTTGTTCTGTGTTGAAGTTATTTTAAGATGTAGATCAATGGTCCTCATTTCGAAAAGCCAACTGTTCTGATGGTAGGCCCTTCTTTGTTTCAGAATGTAGTGTAAGTGTGTTTAAACCAAACACCTCCCTGCATAACAGTTCAAATATAGCAGCGCAGATTATTTTGACAGCGTCATTCACGCTGCCAATGGCCGATTGTATATCTACACCCATGACAAAAACAGAGAGGACACTGTTGAACAATGCAGTTGAGTCACATGATCTATATTAAACTGTATGCAGCTCCTCAACAACTCAAAAATATGAGAAAAGATATAACAATTTAACTTTTGTTAGATTTTCTGCTATACTGTTTAGGTCCCGTACCATCAACTGTTCTGAAATGTGTTAACAAAGATAGATAACAGTTGAATAAGGGAAATTACTTTAACAGTACATGCTGTGAAAAGTATTACTATAACTACCACAAGAACAATTATTAAATGTAATATTTATCATCGGATTCTGTTTCAGTCAATAAGTCCAATGTTGTTTTTTGGAATAATATTCAAGAAAAAATAAATCTCACCTGATAGTGGCTGTATTCAAGCATTTCCAACATGTTTTTTGAGTAGTAATCGATAAAAAAATAAATTCACGTGCAATATATAATCCCTTTATCTTGCTAGCTTGTTAGACTGTACTGTTGACAGTGAGCTGGCCTGTGCAAATCTGAGAGAAGTCACTTGTCCTGCTTAATTTATCCAGGGTTAACGGCTCATCAGTTATGCAAGTTAAGAAATGGAGGAGGACACTCAGACTCATACTCCCACTGCTGTGTTGTTCCAGGTTAACTATGAATTTGTGTCTTTATAGAGCCCTCTTGACGTCACCACCTCACAAAGGACTCTTTTTATTAATTGGCCAGTAGCCTGCGACTTGAAGTTAGCTTAAGGCAAACTAACGTTTAATCTTTAGTTCCGCTCATCTAGTATACAACATTATTTGTTCTGAGCAACAGGAACACAATTGATGCCTTTGTCCCATGTCAATCCAAGCATATGAAATTGTCAATTCATTATGAACTTTTTGGGACTGGATGTTGATTACATCTACCAGTCAGATTTGTTATGCAGTCAGATTTGTAGGGTAAAGAAGGTGAAGCGCTTCAATTTCAGAGTTAATGGTCAAGCATAGCAATTGCGCATTTTGATAAGCTTTTGTCCAGCATGGTACCGATCTTTCTGTACAAACATTTCTATCAAAATCCATCCTGGTTTTAATAGAGCAGCAATCCAATAGAGTTTCTTTATAAAGTTGTTTTTAAGCTTTATTGTTGTGAACCAGTTGATCATGGCGCCTGGCTAGAGAAACATGGTGTAACCATAAAGTAGCACTGTTGGAAACGTGTGTGACTCTCAGATGGTTCCCTTTCAACAGCAGTTTCATATGTACAATGACAAGCAAGAAATCAGATCACTTTCTTTCAACAAAATCCATAATGCCAAAAAAAGGACCTACTTGGTTGGCAAGTAATGACATCTTAAATAAAGCCTGCTTGGGAACATATAAAAGTGTAATAGTGCAATGTGAAGAGGCCTTTAATGCTACAAGGAAAAGAGAATGGGACATTCGGCATGCAATAATAGCTCCATGTGTCTTGGCATAAAAGGGTCTAACAACTCAGAATCAAAGGGCAACATGTAATAGTTCTCATTATCTGTTGAATTTCCTGATAAACTTGACCCTTTTTTGCTTTGCCTTGCTTCCAAAATGGAGTGTTACCCTTTATTGATAATAGCTCCTTATTGGAAATGGATGGAGTTGGCGTTTGTGATGCACCACTAAAAGATGCATTTTTAAACTGCCTTCCTCTGATAATGAATTGTTCTCTCTGCTCGCCATAAGCAGGGCTTTGCAATGGTGAATGCCGTTAGGTGGTCCTGGTTCTTTGCTTTCCTCCCCTGCTTGCATTTATCTCTTGTGGCTTGGTAACATACAGATATGATCTCATTGGTCACGCTTTTTAAGGTCAGCGGCAATCAAGGTCAAAGAGGAAATCATTTCAACTTTTAGCGTAGCAATTTTGCTCCCTCAATAGGAAACAATGGCAAAGAGATGTTACCGTTGATCATGTGAAAGCAGCTTAAGGTGAACACATTACATGTCACTTGTTAGACGCTTTTATCCAAAGCGACTTGCATACTCAATACTGTGGGCGATCCCCAGGAGCAATTTGGGGTGAAGTGTCTCAGGGACACAACGACATGCTGACTGCGGTTTGAACCTGTTGATCGGAACACCAACGCACAACCCACTGCACCACACGCCTCCCACAGAGGACACAGAGTTGTTGTACCCATTGTGTGGTAGTAAAATCAGCGTTAACTGTGGGTAATCAGCAGCCACTCTTTTACAATTTTCCTATCTCTAAAAAAAGTTCTAAATGTCATAATAAGTAATGACGTGTCGGCGTAACAAGAAATGAGAAGAGCAAGCAAACCAATTATACAATTTCAATGTTGTACTTCCAGTTAGCTGTTTGTTTTATGTTAACTTTAGTCAGAATGAGTAGACCAACTATTTTATCAAAGATAAGTTATTTTGCTATTACAGGAATAAAACGTATGAACTTCTGATAAAGCTTAGTTCGTACCGTAAATCCAATCAGTAAATAAGTTATTTAAACGGCGTTGAACATTTATTTTGTCGCGCACACACACATAATTATTGCTAATGTAAAAGTTAATTCTGAGTTCATCTAAGGTTTTACAGCAACACAGAGTCAACACACAAGTCTGATTTTCATAGAAATGTAGATGAGATGTACGGACTGAACTTAAATAACAATTGAGTACAAGTTGATTGAAATCAACAACATATCATCTGCATTTATTTCAATGTTGTATGTGGGGCATTTCATTCATAATGTCTCATTTGTTTCATGTCTCAAAGCAACACTGGATACTTTGTTTGATGCTTTTGCGCCGCCAACACAATGTTTGTACTTTATAGCCTATGCTCAACACAGTGATAACATCAACGTCACGCCCAAATCTTCCAAAAATGTGGACTACGGGATGTCACTGTTGAGTATGCCCCAGAAGTTCATATCATTAAAGCTCTGAACTGAAAGAACATTCACGTTTTTTAAACCATTAATTTCCTCACTTTACATTGATCATGATGTGAAACTGTAACAGCAAAGAACACAGTATAGACAATGCACCAACTTGAAAGATAATATAATCACCATGAAAGTGTGAATCAAAGTTTTATTCAAGGAATTGAGTGTCTTCTCAGGAGTCTCACATGTGATGAACCACTATCATACGTAAGGCTAATTAATGCAAACGTCTGCCATCGTGTCTCGTGTAAGGCCGCCGGAAAACACTACATTGCGTCTTTCTGTGGATTCATGGAAACTCATTTGGAGCTGGAGAGGTGAACACAAACACAGGGAAATAGCCTTCTGGCTGGACGTAGCCTTACAAGATAAAACAGAGAAAGCATTATTTGTAAACTCATAGTAGAGTGTTTCTTTGTCTCCCCTCTGCACTGTGGCCTTTTCCTTCAGCCAAACCTTTGGGTTTTGAAGGAACTATCAACAAGGAATGTATTTCATTCATCCCTACAGCAAACCAAGCTTTCACATTATCTCTTTGTGAGACTGTGGTTTATTACCTAGGAGAGCACATGGGTCTACGTTCTAGACGCCTTGAGGACCAGTAACATTTAAAGACAAAGCCGTGCACAGAAACAGATCCATTCATATCTCTCATTTCTCTCGCATTTCGTTAAGGATGCTAAACATTTAGTGTGAGCTAAAACTTTAAACTTTGCACAGCATCAAAATCTGTCAGGATTTTGAGTGAAAGTAAAGAAGAGGAAAATGAAAATACTCAAGTATAAGTACTGTACCTCAAATCTGTACATATATTGACTCAAAATACGTTCACCTTTTTTATTTTTTATGTATGATGATGTGTTGATATGTTTTTGTGTGAAAGTTAACATTTTGGGGTTACAGTGGAGTTGGAGTACATGACAAAAGTCAGTGGTGCATATTTTTCGAATGACAATGGGTCGACTTTTAATTCCTTAATCACCTAGTATGGATGGGGGGGGATGGGGGACAAAGACAGATCTTGACATGACAAAAATAAATAAGGGCAAACGAATACGAATCCCAACAATTAGGTTAGGGTTGGGGTTAAGGGGTTAGGGTTATACTGATGACTTGTTATCATTTAATCAGTAGGGCTGAAGTATAACATTGAGTCCACTTTGCGTGGCATTAGTTACTTTAGAAATAGATATTTAAAATTGAATATTATTCAAAAACATTATATAATTCAGGCCTGTTATCAACTCTTCATCCTGAAGATATTTTCTTCAGTGAATCAAGCACTGACGTCAAATGTTGTGCTGAGCTTTTTTGTTTTACAGTTACAAATGACAAAACCTTGATCTGTAGGCCAGCTTCCCCTCATTTAAAGTTGTTCTTTTAACTCATGCGTTCAGAGGAAAACATTGAACGGGATGAACTGAACATGCTCGATTTATGCTGAATAATGTCCAAGCAATAGGGATCAAAGATTTCGATAACACTTTTTAATA